CACAACCAAATACCCGTTTTCTAATCACCTCGTTACTGACACGCTGACGCCATCCAAAACCAGCCACGCTTCTGAGGCATCGGTGGTCGAGAACCTGAGGACGCCTCACATCATCTGTCCGCAGAGGCCGTCTCGCACGCATACAACAACACAGCCCTTACTGTAGCCTGGTACACACGACCCTTAAGATCCAGTGAGATGCCTTTTTGACGCCACAAGTGACGCGAATTAGCAAACGTGATTCAAGTCTTTGAGATTCTTCCACTGACTTCACCATTTACAATCCCGTCAGAGCTAATAAAACTACCAAGGTATATTTTCCACAGTCTCCAGTTCTCCTCCTTGAATTGTAAGGGATACTTTCGGAAAATGCATGTTCTGAAGCATGAATTCGCACTATGAAGGTGCAAGCCGCATGTCAAAATACAGCATGATGGTGGTCAGTTTATTTAACAGGGCTTGTGCGCCGCTTTGGTCCTCAAAGATGAGGGTGATGTTATCTGCATACTACGAATCGAGTAAACCGGTCAAAGAACCTGACCACTAGTACCGCAACTTTTAGAGAGACAAAGGGACGGTGGATTCTGAAAACCGCATACAAAGCTAAAAGTATGTACCAGGATAGTTAGCATAAAACTCTACTTAGACTGTCGTAAGTGGACAATGCAATCAACAGCGTATAAATTTACGAACACTTTCATAGACTTCCACAATCCTTTAACATATAAAGCGAAGGGTCATATGGATGACGAAACTAAATAAACGGAGAACAGCACCAACGCACCTCACTAGTTGTGAGAAAAGTTCGGGTTGTTGGTTATAAACTATGATGCAAGCACAGGCGCGGGCATGGAGCACGCGGCATATATTTGCGAAATTCAGATCCTATCGTACTCTCCCGCCAGCTCATAATTTCATCTTCTGATGTAGTTCTTCGTTTAAGATGCATTCTCGAATTCTGTGAAGCAACGTCGTACGATAATAAGTTGAAGATCAAGGATTTTCAGATGTAGTTTGAAGTCAGCACTTCATGAACACTGACAAGCACACAGGTGAGTTAGACTCGGTTCTGAAACGGATACCTACCAACGTTTTTGGCTGTGTGCGTTGCGATACAAGCAAAGGTTACGTGGTTACTACGGCGAAGTGGCACCTGATAGCCCGGAACAGCCACTGCCGTTGGGCACTTGGCAGTGTTGAATACAAGTACAAAATACGGTAATCCCAGTTGTTCTTTGAACGCAGGGACACACGACCAGTCAGAAAATGAAGAAATTAGACGTGTGGCAGAGAAGTTTTTATGGCGGTGCAGGTGAACTGAAGTAATTGTTCAAATTGTGAAGCGAGACTCAGCGATTTCAATCAAAGATCATCCAACGAAACAACCAAACGACGTGGGTCTTCAGTACACAAAACAGGCATTAAGTTGCAGGTCTGCGTCCGACGTTGATTAGTCTGAACTGCACTCTACGGATCGCGTGCGCAGCCACAACTTCTACTTAGCTGAAAGTAGTACATCCTGCCGGCTAAGCCGCCAATAGACGGTACAAGAAGTAGTGCCAAGAACCGTTCACCCTTTGTCCCTAGTATTCACATCCGTTGCCACAGAAAATAGCAAAGTAGCAAATACGGCCTGTCGCACGAGCAATTGTTCGGCTGTAACACTCTTCCAGTGCCTAGCTGCCATGCTACCCGAAAGAATCACGCCTTGCGGTTAGGCTTTTGAACCAAATGCTTTGGTTGAGAACCCTAGTAGTCCTCCTGTCTATGTGTGGGCGCTCTGGCGCCCAGCCCTCGTACAACCATGACATTGTACGGCAGTAAAGCATCGGTATTGAACACTGATGATGATAATGATGGTGCAGTTCTGATGTCGAGGATACTTTCCTATCGAGAGTTATACGGTGTCATTCATCACACAAGAAGCACTGTCACTCATCATCATCAACATCATCATCATGACTGACAGCAACATCAGTGTTGGCACTGATGCTTCACTGCCGTAAATTCGCGCACTAACCACTTGAGTCATCTAGCGGGAGCACGAGCAAGCATTCAGATGGTAATCCGGTAGTACATCGTGAAGGTCAGTAGCGTGCTGCCCTGCCATTTACATTCCGCATCTCATCCCCTGGAGGGACTTGAAAACGGGTTCAGAATTTGTATACTAGAGTCCATTCATCACAATGGCAAACACATCTATTCGCAAACGGAAACTTCACTTCATGCAAGCGTCGGAGTATTAACCAACTGAACACCAAATATGCCCTTCTACCCACCACAAGTTAGGTGGAAATATTGCAGGGATCAATTTAAACACTGAATATTTTTCTTAAATCCAAGTTTGAACTCCTAGACTCATATCGCTCACATATCCTTGTACATGAATAGCTCCTGAATGGGTGGCAGTCCAATCTGTGGGATTTACGGGTAAGGTATTTGGGACTGAGACATGGGATATCATAATGCATACCTACCTCATGCGTATATCGTGCGAAGAACATGTGATATGATCAGGATTCCAAGCATCTACAGCGTCCGATTTAACAGTCACATCCAATTGTTACTAGACATGGATTCGGCTTATTTATTCCCGCAAATGATTAATAACGGACACGGAACTGATAGGAATCTTGCACTTACCTCGCCCCGAATTCGGATTCAATACCCGCTCCAAAGGAAGGAACTTATAGGGATCGATATAGAACTAAATCATTTCAGATAACCAGAAACTGTCAGTACTTTTACACCTTCCTTGAACGACTTGCTCTTCAACGTATCCGACAGCTTAATTGAGAAATACTATTTCCATAGTTATGAGCAAAAGAAACCCACAGCGTCTTTGATAGGACCGAATATCTCGTCGATTTTTCCCACTTCCTCCTTGTTTTGGAGGTACACAGGGGCATTAAAATAGGGAACCTTTTCGCTGGTAAGCCGGCAAACTACATCCTCCTGGCAGGGATGTAAGAACGTTCCGGCCTCCACAACCTCTTCAGGTGGACCTTGATTAGTATTATCGAATCGGCCTCCACCCCGACCACCACGAAATCCTCCTCTACCTCTGAAAGGTCTACCAAAACCCATGATGGCAGCCTGCACGCCGTATTCCGAATACCGCGCCGGCGGAGACCTACACAAATCGGGTGGAAAAGTGCTCATAGTTCAATGAGTCAACACACAACCGATGAATTTTCTAGAATTCCTGCGGGTTCACAGGGCTTCCACACAAGAATTAAGCAAAAGGTTCGTCGTCTCGGTCTGGTTCCAGCTTAAGGCATTCGCCATTTTACGGATGATCCGACGCACCTTTTCCCGTATTACTCGCATGGACTTCCAAATACTCTGTGGTGTCTACGTCAGACCGCTCCTGGAGTACGCCAACCAAGTTGTCTA